AGTTTGACTACATTTATTTCAGAAGCATTTTGGCTGTAGAGCAGTGTCACAGATAAGTTGTATGTAAGATTGTTTAAGGGATTGGAGTAAAAGCAGTAGAAGAACGCCAGCACCATAAATGTGCATGTGGTCAAAAATGATCTCTTAAGAGCCCTGGAAAGGGTGGGAGGGAACTTCTGAGGGATGCAGACTGCTCATTGGAGAAATTAGGAGTGGGGACTAAAGGAGAGTCACTAACATGGGTTCTCTCTTGACTACGGGGCATGGTGGGGGTTTGGAAACCTGTCAAAATTATATGGTGATGGAAGGTGTCGAGCCTATACTATTCACTCACTCCTGACCTCATCTCCATTCAAATTACCTCCCCCAAGCCCTCCTACTCACACACCTCTTTCCTTAAATCTGTCACCACCTGCTTCTCTCCAGTCCATCCTCACCCCTTCAGCTTCTCTGTACCCAGTCACTTACCTTTCCTGACTTCAGTCCCCTCCACCTTTCCTGATCCTCCCCATCTCCTCCCTGACCTCTCTGACTTCTGTCCTTTCACCTTTCCTAAATCCCATTACTTCACATCTACCAATTCCCATTCCCCAATGAGAAGAAACTTCTGTCAAAGCTTCATGGTAACTATTTCTGTCTCCCCTCCCCTCCATGGAAAACTTCAGGAGTTCCCAGTCAGGTCTCAAGTCTCCTGTCATTACGTGTCTCTGGGTAAAGACCCTTGTCCCACTCCCTTCTGACAGGGGGTTTTAAGGCTTCACAGCTCCCTGCCTTACATTGTGATATCCCCAGCAAGTCAGTCTGCCTAACAGTCAGTGTTTGTGCTTTGCTTTCTCTCTAAGGGCTATGAATAGTGTGGCTTTGTCTATACCTAAAACTTAAGTAGACCTTGCTACATCACTCAGGGGTGTGAAAAATTCACACCCCTCAGAGATGTAGTTAAGCTGATCGAAGCCCTATTGACCTAGCTACCACCCCGCTGAGAAGTGGATTTACTACAGCAAAGGAAAAAACCTGTCCGTCGCTGCAGTGAGTATCTACACTAGATGTTACTGTGGCACAGCTGCAGCACCATAGCAGTAGCTGCTGTAGCATCTGTAACGTAGGTATAGCCTATATTGCAGTGGTTCCCAAACTGTGGGTCACAGTGGAGTAGTGCTATCAGCAGATGGGGTTGTGGCAGTCCTGAGTGTGCAGAGGATGCCATTTTACAAAATGAGATCCTCCACACAGCATGACATCACACACACCATATGTGTGAGGTCAAGCCACACAGAGGATGCTATTTTGCTCTACAAAATGGTGCCGTCCATACAGTGTGACCTTGCATGCACCATACATGTGCGAGTTCATGCTGCAAAGAGGATGCCATTTTGTCAAGCAAAATGGCATCTTCTGTGTGATGTAATCTTGCACATATGGTGCATGCAAGGTCACATAGAATGGAGGATATCATTTTTAAATGGCATCCTCCATGCTATCTGGGATCATGGGAAACAATACATCTGAAGATCTGAAGATGGGGTCACGCAGGGAAAATGTTTCCAGCACTTACAGAGAAAACATACATAAAACAATAAAAGAACTTACATACATACTAAAAGCTTACCAGAGGTCATCCTTAGGGCTCTGGTGAAGGTCAGTCTATCAAACCCCATAGCTGGGTTTGCCCCCTTGGTTACAAGTTCATGTCAATTTTTAGATCAGGCACCAGAACCCCACTTGGACGGTTCAGCTGTTTTGTTATACAGGTTGGGCCTCTGATCACCAGTCTCCAGGAACAGGTAATCACCAGTTGATGGCCCTCTCCTCAGGGCGTAGCTTGAAAAGGCCGAATTTTTGCATAACTGTGGTAGTTGAATTTACATTAACCACTTCTAGCTAACACCTCTCGGAGAGGTGGGTTTGTTACAGCAACGGAAAAAATCCTCTTCTATTGCTGTAGTAAATATCTATACTAGACACTACAGTGGCACAGATGCTGTGCCGTGGCTGTGCCGCTGTAGCGCCTGAACCATAGATAAAGCCTGCATTGCCAGTAGTTACAAGTCACCACACAGCTCTTTCTAAGCAAGCACATTTATTGTTAAGGTAAAAAGTATTACAGAGAAAATATATTCAAAAGAATAAAAGTACCTGCATGCATATAAATAACTTATTAGTGGTCACCCTAATTCCAATTTAGGGTTCTGGTAGGGTACAGTCTCGCAAACCTCACAGCTGGATTTGCCCCCTTGGGCCTGGTCCACACTACCCCCCCACTTCGGACTAAGGTACGCAAATTCAGCTACGTTAATAACGTAGCTGAATTCGAAGTACCTTAGTCCGAACTTACCGCGGGTCCAGACACAGCAGGAAGGCTCCCCCGTCGATGCCGCGTACTCCGCTCGCCGAGCTGGAGTACCGGCGTCAACGGCGAGCACTTCCGGGATCGATCCCAGAACATCGATTGCCTGCTGCCGGACCCTACGGTAAGTGTAGACGTACCCTTGGTTACATGTTCATGTCAGTTTTTAGATCAGGCACCAGACCCCAACTGGAAGGTTCAGCTGCTTCTTTATACAGCTTGGGCCTTTGATCTCCAGTCTCTGAGAACGGGCAATCACCAATTGATGGCCCACTCCTCAGGGCATAGTTTAAAAGGACTAGATTTTTGCATAACTGGTGTAGTGGAATTTACATTAACCACTCCCCAGGGATTCCTCAAGAAACCCACTTAACACTTATTGTTCCAAAAGCCCATGCTTGTTTCATGTGTTTAAATATATTCCTTATACTTCCCAGGTCTCACCTATGCCATAACTTCAGTGTAGGGTACTGGGACTGACACATAGTCTGTTAGTCAAGACCCAGAGTAGAATGTGACGTTTACTCTTTGAAAATAATACAGGCAACTAAAATGGGGCCAGGCCATGAAATTCAAGTATGAGATCTGAATCCAAATGTCCTCAGTATTAGAGAAGGTTTGGATTCAGTCTTCCAATTTGAGCCCCTCTATAGCAGACAAGTTGTTTTACAAAAGCAACAGGTGCCCAGCTTCTCCTAGCCAACCCCCCTTGATATCTGTCTTTAAAATGTATCCATGTTGTGCTCACTAAGATAAATAGGGCAGGTTCTAGCTCAGACGAGTTCAGTGAAGCTCTTATCAGATCAGCTAAAGCAAGGAGGCTTCCAGGTTAGACCAGCTCAGCATACCTCTTCTGATTAATTAAATCCCAGCTAGTGCCTGACAGGGCCGGCTCTACTGTTTTTGCCGCCCCAAGCAGCGCGCCGAATTGCCGCCGCGGACGGCGGGTGCAGTCCGTGTGCCGTTAGGGCGGCATGTGCGTTTCCGTGGCGGCAGCAATTCGGCGGCAGCTTCTGTCTTCAGCCGGAGGCGGCCGCTGCGGGCAGCTGAAGACAGAAGCTGCCTCCGAATTGCCGCCACCGTGGAAACGCGCGTGCCACCCTAACAGCACACGGACTGCCCCCGCCGTCCGCGGCGGCAATTCGGCGCGCTGCTTGGGGGGGCAAAAACACACGGACTGCCGCCCCTTGCAGATTGCCGACCCAAGCACCTGCTTGGAATGCTGGTGCCTGGAGCCGGCCCTGGTGCCTGGCCACCAGTTAACAAGGACAACATCCTGCAGCATCAAATGAAGGGAAGGGAAAAAGACCACTGTCAAGATGTTCTCTTCTCTAATTCATACCCTGAAGTGCCAAAATTAAAAATGTTGCCCTTTCTCTCCAGTCTGACTCCAGGACCTGCTTTCACAGACAGAATAAAGGAAGAGTCAAGATGACAGGTATGGAATGGGGTGTGAAACTGATGTCATAATCTCTGTCACTATAAAGAGAGCTAGAGGAGCAATTTTCTCTGGACTTGACGCAAGCAGACCAGAGCTGGAATAATACCAACACCACTGGGACAGGTACTAATTGTAAAATGGGCCAGATCCTCAGCTGGTATAAACTGACTTTCATGGTGCTATTCCACTTTGCATCAGCTGGCCAAATGAGAATTGTTTAGAAGTTTGAGCACAGAAGCCAGGAATTTCTGTTTCTAATGCTGCTGACTCACTGCATGACATTGAAAACAGTATGTCATTTAGGGCGAATTTGTCAAAAAATGGTCTTTAATTTTGGCTGTCATTTTTGACAAAGAATTTTTTTATTTGAACCGTTTCAACCATCTCTACTTTAAGCATGCACTTAAATGCGGTCCAGAATAGGAATATTTTCATGAATCAGGGCCTTAAGTCCTTTTCCCTCAAATATCAGTTTGTTACTGTTTGATGCATTCCTGTCTCCTTGATAAAACATCTACACAGCTGTAACTCATCCACCAATTTGGGGCTTGTTCTCCTGTGCCTATGCACACCAGTACCTTTGCTATCTCCACATCTGTCAGTTTTGAAGTAATCTAGCGAATGTACACTCTAGGAATTTCTCTGTGTGCTAGTAGTTGTGGATGATTCTGCTTACTGACAGGGATAAGATTCATCCAAACTAGGTACTCTAGCTGCTCTTTCCTCCCTCAGGGAAAAAGTATGGTGACAGTAGCTTTTCCCTGATTTCCAGACTGCCAACTGGCTGCTATAAACCAGTACTCTTATCATTGCTTTTTCCAGGTGGCTCTATTTATGAGCAAGCATGAAACACAAAAAATAAACAGAAAGCCTGTGATATCAGCAATCAGCTGAATGAAGTACTGATTTTTTTTTTTTTTTTTTTAGTATTGCTAAAATACTGAAGGGAAATGATGCAACATATTCCAAACAGAACAGCAAAAGGTTGATTTTGTGTTTCCAAAAGAAATTTTCTTATGGGGTCTCCACATAATAATCTCTACAACCCAGATCCCAATACTCCTCTGAGAGACCTGGGGGAGGAAGCTGGGAGGATGTATTCAGGATCCATGCCTGAAGGTTGAGACCAAGCTATCTTGAGCCCGCTTTCGGGGTCCACACATGCTGGCCAGCAAGAATGGATCCTTCTTGTGCTCCACATCATAGAACGGACAAATCTTCAGGTGTTCAGACATGGAGGGAATGTCACTGAACTGCCAGTTGTTAACAGGGGAGAACAGGCTGCTAAACTGCCAGATCTAGTATGTGGGAATAAAGGAGAGAAGACTGGAACGTTAATTAAAATGCAAAGAGGTTTTACAAACACATATTATTACAATGGACTGTCATTACTCTTAATTGATTGGACTGACTAGTGGAGTCATGATAGCATAGGATTGGTGTAACAGTGGACAATCAGGTCCTATGTCTTTATATACACTGTCTTATAACATCTCTCTTTGTGTAAATACATACCTATGTATCCCAAACAAAAAGTACAGTAAGGTTGAGAGTGTACATGAATAACTTATAGGTAAAAAACAATAGATCAATGTTATAATTATTCCAAAACCAAGCATTATAAATCTAAGAACTTCAGAGTTAAAGTTATGTGTAACAGAAATCCAAATAGGTGAAGTATTAGCCAATACATATATGATAGTAGTAGTATACACCATATTACTAGGTATTATACAGAGGGCTCCATGTTTGTCACAGAGGTCACAGAAGTCACTGATTCTGTGACTTCCTGCAACGTCCAGGACTTCTGCAGTGTCTACTGTGGCTGATCCCAGAGCTGCCCAAGCAGCTGGCCCCAGGGACTGCCTGAGCAGCGGCCAGTGCAGCTGGCCCTGGAAACCGCCTGAGTAGCAGTCCTGGGGGTGCTGGGAGCAGCCGCAGCTCGGTGGCTCCTGGCAGTGGTCCCGAGGCGGCTGGAGCAGAGTCACAACACAGCAGTATGGAAATTCTGGGACAGTGCTAAATTCTTAGCCGCCCATAGGAAGCACCAGAGAATGAATTGTAATTAAAAGCAGGTTCCTGCCTGCCTAAATTATAGTAGGGCTGTTTTGGCCCCTGATCAGCCTAGAACTGGAAGGGAGGAAAAGTGGTTTAAAAGTTCACCCTTTTTCCCTGTATTTGTTAGTGAAGTGCTGGTGAAATGTGCCAGACTGACAACTCTGTAAACTTATGTCCTCTGTCAATAGTCCAAGAGCAGCAGAACAGCAGCAGTGTGAGGTCCCATCCCCAACCTTGCACTCCTTCACCAATCTCCCTCACTTCTCACCTGGAGGAGTGAGAGAGGAATTCCATTAATAGATTCACAGATTTTAAGTCCAAAAGGGACCACTGTGATCATCTAGTCTGCCCTGCATTGCCATACAATTTCACACAGTAATTTCTGCATGAAGCCCATAAACTTGTGACTTGTGATTTAAAGATTTCAAATGATCAAGCAGAATCCACCACATCACTCGGTAAGTTCTTCCACTGGTTGATTCCCAGCTATTAAAATATTGTAACTTATTCCTAACCTAATTCCAATTTGCATTTGGCTAGCTTCAACTTCCAGCTGTTCGATTTCGTTATGCTAGATTAAAAAGCCCTCAGCTCTTACATATCTTCTCCCCATATAGATACTTGTTATAGACAATGATCAGGTCACCTCTTAACCTTAACAGACTGAGCTCCCTACGCCTCTCACTGAAAGTCAGATCTTAAAACCTTTTTGTGGTTCTTCGCTAAACCCTCACCCATTTTTGACGTCCTTTTTGAAGCACAGACATCAGACATGGACACAGTGCTACTGGAAACAATGTGGTGGTAGTCCCCTGCTTGCCATATACATAGGTAATATAACATCCCTATTTCTACTCGAGATTTCCTTTTTTATACATCCAAAGTTCACATTAGCTTTTTGGACACAGCTTTAAACTGAGAGCTCATGTTCATTTGGTTATCTACTTTTACGCCTAAGTCCTTTTCAGAGTCACTGCTTTTCAACATGCAGTCTTCCATCCTGTGTGACCCATACTCTTTGTCTCTTCTTGTATGACCTTGTATATATAGTCATATTAAAGGGCTTGTCTGCACAATGTGTTAATGTGCACCAGAGGGGCATAAATTCTAATGCGCACCAGCATGTTTGCACACTAACTGGTTTATGTGACCCTGTTGGGACATATTAAAGTTCCCTAGGGCACTCTGATGTAATCCCGTTTCAAACAGTAATACATTAACGCACATGAGAGAACTTTTAGTGCACACCAGCAGGTTTCACACTGGCCAGTTAGTGTGCAACAAGCTGGTGTCCATTAGAATTTACATCCCAGCTGGTGCACACTAACATACCATGTAGACAAGCCCAAAGTTTTAAACTTAGACATGAAGGGCTTCCTATCCCATGCTTCATACCTTATGCAGCCAAGTCCCAACAAAGCAAATTTTCATGAAAACCCTGTAAATTACCAATCAGTGAAAACATTAGGAGTTGATGTGAAAATCTGGGCTCCCTTCACGGTCACAGTTACTTGCAAGTATTTCACTTTTGCCTTACAAAATAGGATGTGGTCATTTCAGGCTATCTTTAAACACTGTACACAACCCAAAAGAGATACAAGTCTAATTTCTAAAAAGTTCTGTGCGTGACCTTTAAGTGTCACATCAAACAGAGTCACGTCTTGTGTTATATTTTTAATTAGACGATCCTGCAAATATCTTTTGTTTCCCAAACACCACGTTCACTTGCCTTTTTGCGAGCTCTCCATGAAGTACCTCCATGGGAATATCTTTTTTTCTCCCACAGCAGGAGGACCATCCCTCTCTCTTGAAGTAGAGTGGCACAGATATCCCTCATCAATACAGACACTTGGGACAGCTGAGACAAGCTGAAGCTGTCCAAGAACGCAGCAATATATTGTAAAAGTTCCAATGGAAGGCTGCTCAGGGATTCTTTATTTTTTCCTTGATTACTTGTTGTAAAATTGCATTTCTGTATTTCAGAGGGCACAGGGTCAACTTCTGGTTTAATAGCAAATGTATCAAGATGCTGGCTGTAGATAATCTTTGCTTTATGACTAGCAGGGTAGAAGCGGTTTTGAACAAAAGTGCATCCCAAGTAGGCAAGTGGACAACGATGTTGGAACCATCCGTTTAGACAGGACTGGATATCAGTATGAACATTCTTGAAATGTGAAGGAAACTCATCCCTCCTGAAGAAGTGATTGCAAGTGAATGTGAAGGCTGAGCAGCTTTTGTTATGTCTTCTAGTAACACACTCAGTTTGAAGCTCTACATGGAGTTCTGGTGGGCTTTTTATATCCAGAACATCTGCTAGAACAGCTCTAGAGGAGAAGGGTTCCACCTGAAAGCTGTATGTCTGTGTCCCAAAATCCATGAACAGTCCATCAATATTCTTTGCTTCCGAGATCTCATGACCTTTCAGTTCCTTTTCCAATGCACACAATAGTGTACTTCTGGCTGTATCTGATTTAGGAAATTCCTCAAGGCTTATTTGCAAATCTGAAGTATCCACTGACTTGTCCATCGTTGCTATCTTGTATGCCAAGGCATCTCCAAGTCGTGCTCTTTTGCCACGATAGCTAACTGGCACTCTGAAGGTGCACACAGTCTTCACTTCATGAGCCTCCAAGCTCCCATACACAAAGTCTTTCTCTCTTGGTGTGCAAGCAGCAAGCTGACCAAAATGGATGAGCATTCTCCCATGATGCACCAGGTACATGTTATAATCCCCTATGTTAACTTCTTTTTTCAACCTCTCCAGGATCCCATCTTGCCAAGGAGCCAGACCTGTCTTTTCTGCACCTGTAATCACTTGATTATTTTTGTTTTCTTTTGGTTCTTCCACAATAGCTGCTTCCTTTGTCTTCTCTTTGGGGTTGCCATCACAAAGAATCTGTCCTGTTTTCTTGTAGCTATCCCCTTCCTTTTTTTCCGAGTTTGCTGAAAAGTCTGTTGCCTTCAATGCTGAAAGCTCTTTGCTAAACATATTCTCCCAGGCTTTGTAACTTACTAGATCCATCCCCTTCTTATCCTTTGCCAAATCCTCATGCTCCTGTTGGGTAAGCTCAGCAACTTGGCCATCAGCTTCTTTAGAATCACATGCTATTCCTCCAACGGCTCCTTCTTCCAAACCTGCAGCTCCAGCTATTGGTTCTTCCATTTTATCATCTTCTCTCCATTCTGGAAACAGCTCGATCATTTTCAGAGTCCTAAAAAGAATCTTCTGATCTCTGAGGGCTAGAGCTGTATCCAGACACTGCTCATTATGTGGCTCCTTCATAATGTTCTTATGTAGAATGGTTTCTGAGTCTACATTTGGCCAGCGATTCCATTCCATAGAGCAGTGGACAACACTGGCTGGACAGACCTGAAGGTGCTTTGCCAGCTTAAAACGGGCCATGGAGAAAGGGCAGCCATAAACTGCGTTGAGGCATGAGACCTGCTCTAGGGGACATAGGAGTTGGTGTTCTTCCTGTTTACACATATGAAAGGCAGCCCCACAGCGTGAATGGCAGTTGATCACTAAGCAGGAGATGGTGAGCTCGATTGGGACTTGGCATTGCCGGTTGAAACATTTCTCACAGTGCTTGTGCTGTCCAGGACTGGTTTTCTGAGCCCTGCCCTATGAACATCATAGATAAGAGAAGACAAAAAGAAAACACAGTTATTGCCTAAAGAAGCATATTGACCACAGACCGAAGTTGCTTGACTCTTACATGCCAAGTCTAAAATGTCGTTCTAGTCTGAAAAGTGATTACAGAAAAATGACACCTGCTTACATATCAGATCTGGTCCTTGTGTGTATCAGAGTCATATCTGTTAATAAGGGTGATGTAAATAAGCCATTACTGCTCTTTACTCTTGTTAGTCCAGCAGAGCAGCACAGCTCTGAAAGAGTGAGCTGGATTCTAGTCCTCCTTGTGCATCAGTAACAGAGTTGTTTATTAAATTCCAATCAGCTGGAGGTAAGGTATGAGAAAGTTCACAGTATACATTTGAGCTCTACAATAAATCTTCCAGCGAAACCAAGGAAGGCCATATTTGACATTTCTGATATGCCTAATCATGGCTGCTTTTGCTCAGGCTTGCTTTATTTTTTAGAACTTACAAAAACCAAGCAGGTTACTAGGCTACTAGTTTTGTATGAAATGAACTGCTTATCTACCTTTCTTTTATGATTGTGCTTTCAATTAATCTCACAGCTGTAAATTAAATGAGTTTAGTCATATAAAAATAATTATTTGTATTTGTGTAAGACCTTTCCAGGACAGTTTTCAAAGTGCCTTGCAAACAATTAATGGAGCATGAAAATAATTCTGGGAGTCACCTATTATTATGCCCTTTTACAGATGGGGCAACTGAAACACAAAGATTAATGCCAAGCACAAACAGGCCCCATTGATGTCAATGACTTGTCCCAAGGAAGTTGCTGAGACAGGAAGAGAATGCAGGACTTCCCCTGCTCTAGCCACAAGACTACATTTCAACCGGGTTCAGCCCCATATTTCATTTCATCAGGAGGCACTGTAGTTAAATCTATAAACCATTCCCTTCTCCTTTTCCTTCGATACACAACAAAAAAGATACAAAGTGGGGGAACCTTTTATGTTGTCAGGATGAAGAAAAGGATATGGACAATTTTACTGGTAGCGTCTTACAAGGAAATCACACTTCCTTCCCAAAAGCACCTACCATAATTCCAGCAGACTGTCTTGTTTGTCTCTGAGGAAAAAATGCAAATAATTAGTCAAATAATGAAGACTTCTGGGTTTCAGTAAACTAAACAAATACAATGGTGACAGTGCCTCTCAAGTGTAGTGCTAGCCTTTTGGCTGTCCAAGGTGGAAAATGTTTTCAGCATCCCTTCTGCCCCCAGAAACCGAGCCATAATAAACAAACAAATAAATAAATAAAAATAATAAGAAATAAAAATTATGAAAACTGAGCAGCACAGCGGTCCAATGCCCCCTGGAAATTGGGGCTCAGGGCAACCATTGTGGTTGATCACACATACAACCAGTGCTGGTGCTGAGATGTTAGTGTTTTGCATTGCTATGCAAGAAACTCAAGTTCTACCATCCCATCCTCAGAACAGCAGATCATAGAATCATAGAATCATAGACTATCAGGGTTCAGGTTGGAAGGGACCTCAGGAGGTCATCTAGTCCAACCCCCTGCTCAAAGCAGGACCAATTCCCAACTAAATCATCCCAGCCAGGGCTTTGTCAAGCCTTACCTTAAAAACCTCTAAGGAAGGAGATTCCACCACCTTCCTAGGTATCCCATTCCAGTGCTTCACCACCCTCCTAGTGAAAACGTTTTTCCTAATATCCAACCTAAACCTCCCCCACTGCAACTTGAGACCATTACTCCTTGTTCTGTCATCTGGTACCACTGAGAACAGTCTAGATCCATCCTCTTTGGAACCCTCTTTCAGGTAGTTGAAAGCAGCTATCAAATCCCCCCTCATTCTTCTCTTCTGCAGACTAAACAATCCCAGTTCCCTCAGCCTCTCCTCATAAGTCATGTGCTCCAGCCCCCTAATAATTTTTGTTGCCCTCCGCTCGACTCTTTCCAATTTTTCCACATCCTTCTTGTAGTGCCTTCTTGTAGATGCCTCACAGAAAGTAAGCTCAGGCCCTGTGGGAAGAAATGATACATAATGCTGCCTCACCCACATTCTTTGAATCCTGTGGTTTGTGTCCTTCCCCACAAAGAAGTAGCATTTTCACAATTAGCAAGAGGGAATCAATAATAATACTAAGGGAAGGAAATTAATCTAGATAGGACACTGCTTGGTGGGATCTGTAGTCACTACAGTACATACAACTACAGTAAAATTTGGCCCTCAACACCTCTTCAGCTTAGATTCTCAACTCTCATGGGCTCTGCAGCACTGAACTAGTCCGTTGTTGTCTCTGGCAGTGACCAATACCTGTTGATTCAGAGAGGTGAAACCAATACTGCATGCTAGGAGAAAAAATTCATGCCTGACCCTCGGCCTTGTGATCAACGTACATTCTGAATCATTAGTCTTGTTTACCCAATCTGTGTCGGCACATAGGGAAAGAGCCAGTTTTAGCAGATTTATAAATTTAGGTGTAGTTTATTAATATCTTTTCATTCCTACAAAAGTGAAGATGAAATATTTCCCTCATTGGCAGATGTCATGGGGCCAATGGCCCTTCAGGAGAACTAGGGCCTAACTGGCCCATGACAACCCTGTGGGCTACAACTGGAAGCCATCAGGTGCTCCAGGTGGTGCCCTTTTAGCTAATTAGTAATGGAGCAGCTGAGCTAGATGCAGAGGCAGTTAGAACAGTATAAAGGAAAGGTTGCTGAGAAGGAAGGGGGGAGAGAAAGGAGTTCTGTTAGGAGAAGTGATGCAGCTACTGCAGGCTGGAAGTGAGCCATTATGTAAGCAGGGGAATGGTCCCACTATTGTGGGGAACTTTCCTGGTTCATACACTACCCCGGTGAAATGGGCTAGCAAAAGGATCTCAGTCCACGCTCCCACTCCCTTTACCCAGAGGCCTGCCTGACCTCAAGGGCTCCCCTTCCACTCTCCTGTGTGGCGGAGTCTTCGTAACCCCAACAAGGCTGGGCCCAGGATTCCTGGGGGGCTTGACCCCCAACCTTGTTGTGATCACTTAGGACAGGGGCTAGGATGTTCCCATTCCGGGGTGCTCTCTCTGCATTGGATGCTTCCCTGACCCACTGATCATTACATACAGTTCAAAGCAAATACAATTTATTAAACAGCAACTAATTTAAAAAAAATAAGGGAAAAATGGGAAAGGTTAAAGGAAAACATGTAACCCTGCCATAGGTGCTGGAACTAGGAGTGAGGAGGCTGCTGCAGCACTCCCTGGCTGGAAGTGGTTTCCATTACATACAGGGTTTACAGTTTGGTTCAGTGGCTCTCAGCACCCCCACTCGGTGGGCACAGGGGAACCACAAACAGCGTCGCAGCAATGTAAGGGAAGTTCACAGTCTGTTCCTCATATGTCCCAGGGTTCCTTCTCGGGCCCCGGCTGTGCTGCAGGGATGCTGTGGGTTGGACACCTGCAAGGCCTCTTGGCTGGGGGCATCTCCCTGCGCTGGGCCCGCTGCCCAGAGTCCCCACCTCAGTGCTCCCCAACTGCTCACTGCACTGGCTCCGGACTGCTCCAGCTCCTGCCTCAGCCCCAGGCCCAGCCTGCCTCAGCCCTGCTGCTGCTCTGCCTTCAGCACAGCTCCCTGGGCTGCTCCTCTGGCCCCTTTGGCTCTGGTTGCTACAGCTCCCCTCCCAGCACTGACCTACTTCCTGGGCTGCTTCTCTGGCTCTCTCTGGCTTGCGGGGCTCTGCTCCCCAGCTCAGCTCAGGCTCCTGCTCTCTCCTTAGCTCAGCCCACTCTGTTGCAGGCAATTCCAGCTCACACAGAGGACAGGACCCCCCTGGGCTCCTGACTCCCTCATTAGCCTGCCCACCCTGTCAGTCAGGCTGATCTGGAGCATTGGCCTCCACCATTGGTACTGATTTCCCATCAACCCTTCCCCTTTCTTTTGGTACTGGGAGCTAGCCAACCAACCTGCCCCCCCACCGCCACTGAATTTTAGTAAAGGGTCAAGAGTCCCCTTACACATAGGAAGCAGGGTAGGCCGCTGTGGAGCCAAGCCCTGAAGGAGGGCTTGGAGCTGACAGTGAGAACCCCAAGAGAATTGTCAAGATCTCTGGAGAATGGAGACAGTAGCAGAGCTCTTCTCACTAGCCTCTGGGAAGAGAGCTGGGATAAGTCTCCAGACCAGAGTCCTACAGGTGGAAACTGGCTTTGGGGAAGGGAGCAAGATGGAGAGAGAGAGCTCTGGTAAAGAAACCCCAGGGGAGCAGAGTAGACTCCTGTGGAGGAAGCCCTGAGTTAGGCCCATGATGGATAGAAGAAACCCACAGGGAGCAGGTTAGTCTCCTGGGGGAGAAGTCCTGGGATAGGGCTTGTAAGTGGGAACAGGGAGACCCCCAGAGGTAAACTGCCAGAGCCCATGGAGGAGGGAGGCAGTATGGGGAATCCTGCTGTGAAAGAACTAGCCATTAGTTTGGCCGGAGAGGTGCTGAAAAAGAATTATTACTTTGGATTGTTAGGATTTTTGTTTGGACCTTTTTGTTACTCTGGAAGGGGACTGAACTTGGCTGGAGGGCTGAGCCCCAGAAGACCTGGTGAGAGAGAGATGGCCTCCAGGAGGTGCCAGAGACAAGGGCTCCTTGCAACATCACAGCCTGACACAAGAGGGTGCTACAGGTGGTACGCAGACCACTTTACAGCAGATTATTCTGTAATTGTCCATTATGGAGTTTCCTCCATCTTCCTTGGAAGCGTCTGGTACTGGAACAGGTGGACCACTGGTCTGATCCAGTTTGGCAGTTCCTATATTCACATACTATAGAAGATGAGATGTTTCTTTCTTGGAATTTAGTTTTATCTATATTTGAAGTGCTCACAGGAGCAAGAGACACCAACCCATTTATTTCTCACTGGCAGCAGCACTGCTATGCTAATTCTTGTCATATTTTGCTGCAACTGTAATCTCTGAAAATAGTCTCAGCCATGACTTGCATAAGGTCACAGGAGGACTGGTGTTATACACCAATAAAAACAAACATATGAACAATGCTTTCCACTAGGAGACTAAATCCAGGACAGGAATTATTGATAGATACATATATATCTGAATGGGGACCAAAGCACATAAGCATCTATGTCAGTAATAAACTATGCAGGCCTCATCCTGTCCCCCACCAACACAGAAAGTTCTTTTTGGAACATTTCTGGGCCTGATCTTGCTCTCACTTATACTAGGGCAAATCAGAACTCCATCAAAGACACTGGTGTGAAAAATTGGTGTAAGATGTTTTCATTAGAAGAAATGGAACTGAATCCAGGGTGGTTAAACACTGGAATAAATTGCCTAGGGAGGTTGTGGAATCTCCATCTCTGGAGATATTTAAGAGTAGGTTAGATAAATGTCTATCAGGGATGGTCTAGACAGTATTTGGTCCTGCCATGCGGGCAGGGGACTGGACTCGATGACCTCTCGAGGTCCCTTCCAGTCCTAGAATCTATGAATCTATGAATCAAATCTGTATTTTAATTTGGGCCCATCCCTAATCTTTGTGCTTTTCTATCAGAACAATTATTTTATATATCTTTCAGTGAATATCAATTTTTTTTCAATTTACAAGACAAAAGAGAATTTTTTTTATAATTTAGCCGCAAACTCCACCAGGGACTTTCAAGGTGTTTTTTTTCCTGTCCTTGGACATCATTTTATTAGTAATAAGAAGCTCCATATTCAGACTTTAGCTGATGATGTTGTTGCTGATACCCACGGCACAATAGATCTCAGCACATTCTCCAGTAGCTATATCAGCTCTGAAATGCTAACAAAACTTTTTTTGTCAGTAAAGTCCGAAGATAAAATTCTAAGGCACACACAAAGCAATTTTGTTAAATAAGGACACAGTTTTCTAAACCTAACCATACTTAAAATGTAAAATGAGCTTTATTTCCCAGGTTCCCTCCAACTGGTAATTAATTACAGAAGAATGGAATAAAAAATTATAAGTTTACTTGAACCATGCTCAAACTAAAATGGAGTGAGAGGATGTGTGTCTGTGGCCATGTTCTGTCCACTTTGGTAAATAATGTTTATTTCTAGATTGTCATGACAGTAAACCAAGAAGGGTT